ATATCCCCATTGTACATGGCTTTTACATGGGTTCGGAACCACTGCACTCGCAAGCATGCTGTGAGATATGCCATGGCCATCAACCAAGCATCATTTCTGGAGTACATCAAAACATAGGGATATATATATATATACTAAATATATATAATATAGTATATTATAATCCATATGATATACTATATATATAGTATATTATCCCTATGTTTGGTGATTGCAACCCCATTTTCGGTGCTTCAAGCCGAATCATGCAACCATGATCTGCAGATTGACCACTATTGCAGCACAAATTCCGGTGTAGCCGCTTGAGATTACCATTATATTTCTCATTTCCACTATATGTCCCATATATTTCCCTGCACTACTCCAACATTAAGTATTATCAATGGATTGGTTTAAGGGAAAATCTACAGGAAACCATAGATTTTCCCATTAAATATTGGGTTTTCCTGTAAATTTTCCCTTAAACCAATCCATTGATATTAATCCAATGTTTTATTCGGGGCCTCGTGCCGTTCCTCCGTTCGAACGGAAGGTCAGCATTACAGGGTACACTGCCACGGAACGGGGCGAGAGCCAGCTGTGCCGCTGGCGAGTGTTGGCAGTTGGGAGTTTGGGTATTCCGAATTTCCCCATGTTCCCGCATACCCAGCCCGTCCCTGTGAATGAACACCCCAGAAACCCAGGCTAAGTGTTGGAGCGGGGCTCGGGGGATGGGATCCCATGTCTGGTTCCCCATTGTTCCATTGAAAAATGGCTGGTTGAACATGGCTCCCATCCCAATCATCCCACAAAACACAGTTTTTTGATTCAAAGTGGATCATGTTTATTTCGATGTTTATCACGATCTAACACCATTTATAGACCACTTATAGACCATTTACAACTTCTGAGCGTTGACCCCCCCCAACTTGCTCCCTTGGGAACTTCGAGCCAGGCTCTTGGTGCATGAGCTCCGGAGTGGGGTCAGGGAACTCAGAATAGCTATGATAGATCCTGTTGGCGCGATGTATATCCGATGTGAAAACCATGGTATTTGAGGGATACATATAGCATCATGTAGTTGAGAAATAGATGTCGATCCATTCGGGCCGCATTTTCTCATATGCCCATGTGGCATTGTGCTGCATTTTGGTTCGCGAACTGTCAAGACTGGTGTCTTCACAAGGGGTACGTCAAAACCAAAGTCTATGAATAAAAAGTTATAAGTTCGAGATTATATCTAATATCTTCCGCGTCAATGGTCGCGCCAAAATCCACATGAGCCATCATGAAACTGCCTTTCTGCCACTCAAATATTGGTTGATACTATTTTTCAGGTCTCTTGGAACTTTTAAGACAATAACAACTCATCATTCTCTGAGACATGTTCACTTATTGCTGGATTATCCATGATTATCCTACTTCTGGCGGTTCAATCACCATTCTTCTTGGTAAAATCCCCCGCTTCCCCAGGAACATCGCGCGGTGATCTCCGCCGCGGACCATTCGTTGGTTGGAATCCAGTCTTCCAAGGTACTCTCGTGTTGATTCATTTTGCATACGTACATGCACGGTGATATATATATATGTGTATATATATGGTGTATATATATATGGGATATATATATATATATGTGTGATCTCTATGTATATATGGGATATATATATGTAAATATACAGCAAATGCCCGGGCTTTGCCCCGAACCGCAACGACGCCGGGCAACGCATCGTCATCATCATCATCATCAGCAGCAGCAGCATCACCATCATCAACATCATCATCATCATCATACCGTTGTTGATCTTCCCAATCGAATGTAAAGTTTAACAGGGGTGGGATTTTAATATTTCCTAGTACCTTTTTTTGATCTTCCCAATTGAATGTAATGTTTAACGGGGTTGGGGTTTTAATATTCCCGAATACCTTTGTTGATCTTCCCAATGGAATGTAGAGTTTAACGGGGGGTCGGATTCTAATATTCCCGAATACCTTTGTTGATCTTCCCAATTGAATGTAGAGTTTAACGGGTGTGGGATTTTAATATTCCGTCATACCTTTGTTGATCTTCCCAATTGAATGTCAAATTTAACGGGGGTGGGATTTTAATATTCCCTCATACCTTTGTTGATCTTCCCAATTGAATGTCAAATTGAACGGGGGTGGGATTTTAATATTCCCTATGAATACCTTTGTTGATCTTCCCAATTGAATGTAAAGTTTAACGGGTGTGGGATTTTAATATTCCCGAATACCTTTGTTGATCTTCCCAATGGAATGTAGAGTTTAACGGGGGGTCGGATTCTAATATTCCCTAATACTCGTACCTTTGTTGATCTTCCCAATTCAATGTAAAGTCACAACAACATTTGATTGGGAATGGGAACCCTCTACGCTGCAACGCTGGGGCAAAGCCCAGGCGTTGCGCGTATAGGTAGATAGGTAGATAGATAGATAGATAGATAGTTAGAAAGATAGATAGATAGATAGATATGGGATATATATATATATATATATGTGGGGTATGTGTATAAATATATATATATATATATGGGATATAGTATGTACTGGTGTATATACTCTTTATATATATATACCTATGTACATGTACACACAGACGCATGTGATTCTGTGCGTGTGACTTGAAAGGATTAGGGAGGGTTTGCTTAAAGTTTTACAATGAAAATCAGCTTTGGCCCTGTGTCACAAGTCGCAAAGTCATGAGTTCAACAATGCAATATCGGGGTTTCCATGAATGGGGGTACCACATAGCTGGATGGTTTATAGTGTAAAATCCATCTATAGATGGATGATTTAGGGGTACCGTTGTTTCAGGAAACTCCCATATATCAACTGGGTCTCTTCTTTCAAGCTTGTTGGCTCTAAAGGTTTCAGAGATTTTCAACTGTCTATTTGCTGCTGGCCGTATTCTGGCGTGTTTCTATGATCTTGGGAAAAGATATATGGCTATGGATCAATACCTATTAATACCATTTTTAGTGGGATGAACATCCATAAATCCCAGCTATTTTGATGTGAACTAGGAACCCGGCGCATAGACGGCCGTGGCTCAAAATGAAGAATGAGTATCATCCAGCTTGATTTTCTGCACGTTTGTAAGGGGATTTCTCAAGTTTCAGGTGTATACACTTTTTGTGGCTGAATTCCATTGGAAAGTTAGCAAAATGGCGTTTTCGCCTCAGCGAAACGATCATTTTAATGTTTTTTTGAAATGACGTAACTACTTTGTCTATGCCAGGATTTGCTTCTTTTTTTCCTCATCTGACAGCATCAATCCTGCGGCAGGAGGTCTTCCAAGTGTTCCAAAAATTCGCAGCAGCGTAGCAGCAGCGTAGCATCCACGTATGTAGGCAAGGTACATGAACGTTAATATCCCCCCCACCCCACCCATGCCCAGTGACGTAGCAGCAGCGTAGCATCCATGTATGTAGGCAAGGTACATGAACGTTAATATCCCCCCCACCCCACCCATGCCCAGTGACGTAGCAGCAGCGTAGCATCCACGTATGTAGGCAAGGTACATGAACGTTAATATCCCCCCCACCCCACCCATGCCCAGTGACGTAGCAGCAGCGTAGCATCCACGTATGTAGGCAAGGTACATGAACGTTAATATCCCCCCCCACCCCACCCATGCCCAGTGACGTAGCAGCAGCGTAGCATCCACGTATGTAGGCAAGGTACATGAACATTAATATCCCCCCACCCCACCCATGCCCAGTGACGTAGCAACAGTGTAGCATCCACATATGTAAGCAAGGTACATGAACGTTAATATCCCCCCCACCCCACCCATGCCCAGTGACGTAGCAGCAGCGTAGCATCCACGTATGTAGGCAAGGTACATGAACGTTAATATCCCCCCCCCCCCACCCATGCCCAGTGACGTAGCAGCAGCGTAGCATCCACCTATGTAGGCAAGGTACATGAACGTTAATATCCCCCCCCACCCCACCCATGCCCAGTGACGTAGCAGCAGCGTAGCATCCACGTATGTAGGCAAGGTACATGAACGTTTATATCCCCCCCCACCCCACCCAACCCCGTTTTGCTAAAATATGTATTTCGGTCCACGGCCGTCTATGCGCCGGGTACCAACTACAGGTGTAGTGTACTATTGGTTTTGACACACTGCCATATGTTTAAAGATCAGGTCCATTTAAGGAACATGGCTGTTGTGCCCAAAATCGTCCCAGTCCCGGCTTCAGTGCAGGTGATCTGGGTAAGAGAAGAGGGCCTTGCCACCATCCAACAGGCTGGGACGGCCCTGGATTTTTTGTGGTGATTCAGTAACGATTACCCTCTGGTAAACTAACATAACTATGGAAAATCACTATTTTTAATGGGTAAATCCACTATAAATGGCCATGTTCAATAGCTATGTTAGTTTACCAGAGGGTACTGTATGTCATTTTAATGAAACTCGTAACTCATCATTCACATATTCAGAGATTCCACTTAATCACTCATGAAGTGCATTGTTCAACCATAAACTGTTTCTATATGTTACTACTTGCTGAATCCCCAACACGTTAGATCTTATAGGGATTCAATCATTTAAACTAGAATCGCTAAAAAATCATTTCTTCTCTGCATTCCATGAGCCACTGGTTCATATTCTCAGGTTAGGTCCGGCAGTTCTTGAGGCGGATCTCTATAGTCGTCACACCACCGCGGACAAGCGCTCAGAGGACAAATCCGTAGGCGCGTTGGAGATGTGAGGTGATGGCCAAAATCCACCAGCTCTGGTTGGTGGTTTGGAACATTTTTTTTTCCATTTCATATATGGGATAATCATCCTATTGACTTTCATATTTTGGTATATTTTTCAGAGGGGCTCGAAGCACCAACCAGAGCTGGATCCAGGGGCACAGCTGGCGAATCTCCCAGCCCACTTGGCCGAACTGCTCAAGGCACCCTTTGAGGCGCGTGTTTTTGTCGTTGATTTGTCAAGTTCTCCAGCTTGGAATTCCGGAGATGGAGGTTCATAGCTGGGAAAATCAGGAAAATCATGAACATCAAAAAAATGGGAACATCATCTAAAAAGGATCCACTATGATCCACTCGAATCCTTTGAAAAAAACAAAACGAGCAGATCCGCGGTACAGCTGAGCAGCTTCGTAACACGCAGATCCTGACGTACCTCTCCAGTGTCATCATGGCCAGAAGGCGCATGGTCTGGGAGCCAGAAAGCCAGCTGTAGCTGGAATCGACTCAACTGACATTGGGTATGTGGAACATTCCGAGGGGATGTCTATCTATACCATGGATGCATCATGATATTATATATATATATGTATAAATAATTTGCTAGTGTAAACGGTGAAATGTGCAAGTATTTGCCCATCAAATTCCATTCGGTGAGGTATGCACATGACAAGAAAAGAAAGCACTGCATCAAATATCGACATGGGATCATATTAGGCAATATGAACATACAAAATCATAGAAAATCATACAAATGTACACAAAGGGATGTAGTGTAAATAGATGTGGTACATGCATTATGCGGAATTCGTCATTTCCCCCACAGTCACCATCCATCAGGCAGCGGAAGGAGACTGGTTTGCTGCTTCTTCCTGATGCAACGGTACCATTCAGCAGCGAGGACGTCCGGGACTTCCGGACTTCGGGATGCCCTAATAAATTCAGTGCTGAAGTGGCGGATTTGCTGATAAAGATAGGTTATGAGTATTTTATGAGTTATGAGTCGTTATTTGATTGGTGCTGACTGGAACATGGCTGGATGGTTTTTCCCATCATATTGGGAATGGAATAATCATCCCAACTGACCTTCATATTTTTCAGAGGGGTTGGTGGCTCAACCACCAACCAGTTATGACGCTTATGACACCAGGAGGAGATCCAAAGATTCTGACATCAGAGATCAGGGAGATGCTGGTGGCAACATGGTCAGACCATGGTTCAGTCTCAACCAGACCATGGTGTCTATGCCTGGTCATCGTGGAGAAGATATATTTGAATGGTCATCGCAGTCATAGCATGTCATCATGGGATTGTTCTCGGCCAATGAAAACATGCTCTGGTTGGTTTCAAACATGTCTCTGGGTAAATTATAGAATGGGCTAGCGCCCAGGTGCCGCCGACCCCCCTAATTGGAGGGGGGGTACTGTAGAGAGAGAGAGGGAGACGGACAGCAAGACAGACATATGGCCGTTTGCTTCTCAAGCCTGTTGGGTGTTGGGGTACCTTTTCCCTGCGGAGCTGGGCGGACTTTTGGAGGGTTTGGAAGGTTTGGAGGGTTTGGAGAAGCCATTGCGCAGGGAAAAGGTACCCCAACAAGCCCAACACGCGCCACTCCCGCAGGCAAAAGCCACCACAAGGCCACAGCAATGGCTCAAGGCCACCCCCCGGCCGCAGCAATGGCTTCTTATAGGCGTTCAAGGCTGCCGTTTGCCAGGCCTCAAACCCTCCAAACCTCCAAACCCTCCAAAAGTCCGCCCAGCTCCGCAGGGAAAAGGTACCCCAACAAGCCCAACACGCGCCACTCCCGCACGCAAAAGCCACCACAAGGCCACAGCAATGGCTCAAGGGCACCCCACGGCCGCAGCAATGGCTTCTTATAGGCGTTAAACCCTCCAAACCTTCCAACTCCTCCAAAAGTCCGCCCAACTCCGATGCAAAAGGTACCCCAACAGGCGCCACGCCCGCACGCAAAAGCGACGACAAGGCCACAGGCTTGAGAAGCAAACGGCCATATGTCTGTCTTGCTGTCCGTCTCCCTCTCTCTCTCTACAGTACCCCCCTCCAATTAGGGGGGTCGGCGGCACCTGGGCGCTAGCCCATTCTATAAGAAGCCATTGCTGCGGCCGTGGGGTGCCCTTGAGCCATTGCTGTGGCCTTGTGGTGGCTTTTGCGTGCGGAAGTGGCGCGTGTTGGGCTTGTTGGGGTACCTTGTCCCTGCGGAGCTATGCGAACTTTTGGAGCGTTTGGAGGGTTTTGGAGGGTTTGAGGCCTGGCAAACGGCAGCCTTGAACGCCTATAAGAAGCCATTGCTGCGGCCGTGGGGTGCTCTTGAGCCATTGCTGTGGCCTTGTGGTGGCTTTTGCGTGCGAGAGTGGCGCATGTTGGGCTTGTTGGGGTACCTGTTCCCTGCGGAGCTGGCCGGACTTTTGGAGGGGTTGGAGGGTTTTGGAGCGTTTGAGGCCTGGCAAACGGCAGCCTTGAACGCGTATAAAAGAAGCCATTGCTGCGGCCGTGGGGTGCTCTTGAGCCATTGCTGTGGCCTTGTGGTGGCTTTTGCGTGCGGCAGTCGAGAGTGGCGCGTGTTGGGCTTGTTGGGTTACCTGTTCCCTGCGGAGCTGGCCGGACTTTTGGAGGGTTTGGAGGGTTTTGGAGCGTTTGAGGCCTGGCAAACGGCAGCCTTGAACGCGTATAAGAAGCCATTGCTGCGGCCGTGGGGTGCCCTTGAGCCATTGCTGTGGCCTTGTGGTGGCTTTTGCGTGCGGGAGTGGCGCGTGTTGGGCTTGTGGGGGTAACCT